TTGAATTTACAATAGCACATGTTGAGGGAGATGCATGCCTATCACGAGCCACTACCCAGTGTGAGTGTTCGTGCTTGCACTTATATTTGATCTCATTTGAGATTTTATATTCTGTATGTTAGTATTAGAGCTAGGCACATACATGACCGTTATCTGCCAGAGTGCTAGCAGCTGGAATGTATAAATTGTCTGGTATAAAGAAAAAGTTACCAGGAAATATTTTCAAACTTGAAAATGTAAATTCAGTGTTTTGAAGTATGAAAAAATGGCATCCCTAACACTGTGGCAATATGAAATTACATCTGAAACAGCAGCTCAATGATAGTTTGTTAAAATAGCCTGAATAGCCAGATATTCATTAAGTTTAATCCCCTTCATCATGAGGGAGGGAGGCAGAATTTCAGGGCATGTAAAATCTGTCTGCATGTGCCCATCTGCTCACTATGGTTTTCTATTGCAGATTGTTTGGAAAGTATTATCAGTTCTTCACATGGGCAAGAAAGGTCACTGTCCCTGAAGGACAAATCCCGCCTCTCTGTCCAACACTCTCCAGGAGTCATTGGTCACCCTTGGATGACAGCTCTGAATTGCAGGGCAATGTTTGCTGCATTTATTTCGCAGAGTAATTCAGTGGGCGTGGATGAGGGTGTCATGCGTTTGGCTGAGTTCATGGTGTGAAAAAGGCAGTAGGCCACGGTCACCTCAAAAACGCTGAGGGATATTTACAGAACAGAAAAAATAATCAGAAGCTGTTTACTGATTAAACTTGAAGCAAGCCCAGTCCTTCCAAAAGAGCAATCATCTGCTATTCATCACAGATTTCTGCAAGTCTGGATTCAGGAGCTACTGAAAAGCTCTGAAAGTCCTTCATGATCAAAGTCACTTCCCGTTGTCAATAATAATGATACAGCAGCCCTCAGAAAATTTGACTGAGCCTTGTTTTCTCTTCTGGATGGAGAAAAACATAATCAGTTGCAGGAGAGGCACAGAGATGGCATAACATGCCTGCTGTCAGGCAGCAAAGGGGGCACTGCTAGGAAGTGAACCTGGTGGACTTCCACTCATGTTCAAATACCTCACCTGTGGGGCCATGCAACACCTGTGACCAGTGTTTAAACCTGGGACAACCACTTTTACAACTAGAAGTTAGGGCTGACAGTCATGAGTTGCAAAATAACTGGAAAAATAAGAACACTCTTGGGTGAAAAAATCCAGAGTTCATTTTTAGACTGTCTCTGAATGAAAATAAGACTTTTTCCTTACTTAGTTTTAAATATGTTTCCTAAGAAAACAGATTCATGCAACTGGACTGTCCGTCCCTGCCAATTTTGGATCCTGTTGGCCAGTATTAACTGCACTTGGCAGAGTGGGACAGAGATTCCTACCAGCTTTGTGAACACAGGCAGCTGGGTGAAGAGAAAAGAGCTCAAGCAGTATTTTATGGCCCCAGCCAACACAATCTTTGCTTGACACCCGAAATAGTGGAGTTCTCTCTTTAGTTACTCAAAAGACTACTTTTAATAATGGTCTGTGCAGCTGCATCAAGCCAGCAGTCTCCTGGAGTGCCATGGCCTCTTCCTTGTTGCATGGCATGTGCCTCCATGGCTCTTAATTGTCCTCAGACTTGTATAACAGTTGGTGCAGTTGGACAGTAATCATAAACTATTAGTTTTGGGCTCACAACACACTGAGCACTTCCAAATACAGCAGCATTGCCATACAAGTGGCAAGAGGGAAGAGGCAGAAAGTTTTCCCAGTGGTTACCTTGTGGTGGAACAATCTTGCAATCTACCACCAACGTGGTAGATTTTAATTTAAATTTAAATCACCACTAAATCAGAGTTTGTGTGAGTAATCTCGTGACACACCTTCACTCTGGTTTGAAGATCAGAGTTTTCAGTGATGCCACAGCTTGAAGAGTTCAATTTGATCTATTTTCCACAACAGAAACCCAGATCTCCATGATATTTTTTTCCCCTTTTAGATAGTCATCTTCCATTAGGAAAAAGAAATCAATTGCCAAGAATTTTGCCTTGCTGCTAGCAGCACTGCTATGTAGGTGGAACTGTCACATATTAAAACTGCTTTCGATCATCAACAAAACTCAAAAAGCAGAAACTTTCTTTTTCTGCTTCACTCTCAGTTTGAGAACTGATTTCCTAATACAACCATAGCTTTGCCTGGGAAAATGCCTCATACCTTGAACACAAACAAGAAGAGAAAGGAAGACGAGCTTGGTTATGTGCATATAAAGATTCTGAAAGAGAAAATGAAGCAGAAATCTTCAGCAAAGGCATCCTGGTGGAATAGACCTCATATGCTTGACCGAAGCTCACTCTGTAGTGCCAGCCTAAAAAGAACATGAAGCAAGGGAGTGGATCTTGCCAGGAATGAATAATGCCACATACGGCTCCTCATCTCAGAGACATCACTGCAAATATTACCCGGGTCACACAGTTACGCTCTGTAGCCAGGAGAGTGCTTTGGTTATTGAAACATAGAATGAGCTATCAGGGGACATGACTTTTAAACCGACTTGAACAATGACTCCCTGCACATTTTGGAGCAAGTCATTTCATCTCTCTGTGCTTCTTTCCTCTGTGTAGCGAGGACAATACTTATCATATGTACTGCGACACTGTAAAGCTTCATCTGCTGAAATTATTGTTGCTCTTTGTTACTATAGAATGTTATGGGAAGATATAATGGAAGCACGAGTGAATTTCACATTTGAGTGGTAGCCATTAAGCCTTGCAAGTGTCCTCTCACTTTGAAGACATTATATTTATTCACTCCAGAGAAAGATCAGCCTGCTATGATTCGCCTTTCATGTAAGTCTAGAGTAGACAGACCTAATTTTTGGTTGTATTTCCTCCAGCGTTGTTATTTATTCCAGAGAAATTAGAGTATTTAAGTACTTTTTGGACCTGCTTCCCAGTATGAAACATCTGCTTAAAAATAAGTGCTGCAAGAGGGAAAGTTGGACAGGGTAGACATGTCCCAGAAACTCTGGATAGGGCAAAGAATGCCTGGATGGAGGTACATGGGAAGTCCATGTGAGAGCCAGGAACTGAGCCCTAGTTCTCCTGTTGTTCAGCCAAGAGTTCATGGATTATGTCCTTCCTTCTAGCAGAGCTGACCATCCCCATTCCAAGCCACAGCACAAGTTCTGTAGGTTCAGCTGGGATGAGTTGCAGACCTTTCCTCTGAGGCACAGTTCAAGAGCCGTGGCTGGTTTAGAAGTAACAGCTTATTGCCTTTTCAGTTTTTTTGGTTAGTAGGAGGATTTTCAGGTCTAGGGTTGTCTGTCAGCCTTGTTCCAGTGGGGGGGAAAGAAAAATACTTTGAAATGGAAAGAAAAATTTTGCAGGGAGCTAGGACTGTAGGACTGTAAGAATTGTAACAAATGGCTTTTTTATTCATTAAAATTCAAATGCAGATAAATAACCAACAGCTCCAGTGAGGATTATGGAACTTCAGTATTTATGAGGAAGCAGAAATTTTATAAATATTGAGATTGGCTATTTTCTACCTACATATTTTTTTTTTTTTTTTTTTTTTTTTAAGAGTAATAACATTTGCTAGTCCGGCAATAACACTATTCATTTATGCACCAGCTTTCATCCAGAGATCTCTGAACACTTTACTAACATTGGCTGAACAGAACTCCTAGAGATGCAAATAGTGAATTATTACCCCCAGTTTACAAACAGAGAAATGTTTGCACTAAAATATAAAGGATTTTTGTCCAGAGATGAAGGCTGAGAACACGGCATAACTGTGGCAGAGTCTGTGAGCTGTAACTACAGAAGTTGTTCTCCAGCTGAGGGACCTCACCAGTTTAAGGATGTTGTTAGAGGAACAAGAGTTACTGGAATAACTGGTGGTCCAAACTTAAAGCACTTCCATTTCCTCACACTCACTGCTTATGTGCATGTTGTAGGTTATGGCAAATGAAAGCACGTTTTTCTTACAGGTCAGCATCAATATTGTATGAATTAAATAGGATCCCAGAAGGGTAGATCAACTCAGACAGTGTTGTGTACTAAATAGCTATGTTGCCTCACCTATTCAGTTAGTTTAGTTATCTCTATGTAGCATTGAATTATGCCATGTAAATGTCACTTTTATGGATAAGGTCAATTTAAAATATGTTCCCAACAGCAGCAGCAGCCGCAACAATAAAAACAACCCAAAAGATGTTTTAGAGCTTGTCAAAACTTCTCCTCTACAAGGCTTTTTAATGAAATTTCCACCTGCTTTAAAAAGAATTTGAAAATAGAAATTTAGTCATAAGGAATATGTGAAGAAAATAGTGTCAAAATCAAAGCCAAAATAAACATAGACTGAACAGAACATGTATTTACATCAACTTTTAATATTTAAAAAATATGAAAACATGAAGAGATGTAGGACTGTTGCCTATTTTCAAAATTAAATTTCTATTAGAATATCAAAATATGGAACAGGAGACCTGGGCCTTTCCCTGACCACTTCTAGTCTTCATCAGAATATCCTTCGCCAGGTATCTTAAAGTACCTCTGACAAGGAGGATATCTCCATTCTTAGGTTCAGTTCATTTATTTTTTCTTTATTTTTCTTTTTGTTATCTACCTGACATGTCTCTAAGTGATCCAGGTTACTGGACTGGATAATTCCAGACTCTAAGCAATTAATTGGTTCAACAGAGGTTAAGATGATTAAGAAATTTTAATGGCAGAAGGGATGATGATGATTGACTTTGTGGATTCCCAAACCCATTTTTCTTGGCACAATCACCGGCCATGGTGATATAGTAGATTCTGGCTCTAGGTTGCAATCTGAATGTGAGCAGCAGGTGGCATTAGGCTGTCCTGGAAACATTCACATGCCATTTTGAAGTAGATTTCAAATCACTACTGACGCACATATTGCTGCCTGGGAACTTCTTATTTAATCTGATGCCTTGTCTCTCACCCACTAATTTATATCAATCCTTTTCTTTCCATTCACACTTTAAATCAAACACGGGTGTCTTTTTAAGGGCTTTAAGTGGCAGGGAATCCACAGCATTTAGCGTTTGTAGTGATTAATTACCACTGCTATTTAGAGTCACACCTACATCTAAGTTTGAATGTGCCTTTGAAGTTTGCAGTCATTGGGTTTTGTTAGAACATTTTTGTTTTAATATAAAAGCATTTTGATAACAAACCTCTTGCCACGTAAGTACTGAATGACCATGATCATCACTTTGTTCTTTACTGCATGTAATATGACCAATGTCTTCTGCTGGAAACTGACATTTTAACTTCAACATTTCAACACCTAAGGAATGAAAATACAGCCCTCCATGGAGTATGGGCAGCCCTCCTCTTGACACACACAAGATCAGAGTTGTCATCTGGTGTTATTAAAGAAAGTGCTCAAAAGGGAGAGGTTTCAGAAAAATATCAGTGATATTTGCTCATTTCATTAGGATGATGCATGTCCTTGACTGCTTCTCTCCAACTTCAAATACAGCTGGTATTTATTTATTTATTTATTTATTTATCCTTCTCCAGGGATCACATCCCTAACCATGGAAAATTGCTAGGATGAGGAAGACAGGACCGGGGAGGGGAGTGCTGGAGGCTGATACAGTAACACAGCATCCATTTGTGGCTTGATTCCCCCAGTGGTGAAGCCATCAGTCGTTAAAATCCCCTTAAGCAATTCTCTTTGATGGCCTGAATCTACTGAACTCTCTGTCCAGATTCTCAGGCAAAGAAGAACACTTAAAGGCTTTGTTTTTTTCTAGTCCCTGGTGACCAGTACCTGATACACTGCTTTTCTACAGTTGGCCCTTGACTGATTGATCTGGCAGCATTGCAGTGGAAGGTTCATAGTCCAACGGGCTAATGACTCTTTGATTGACTTGTTGTTTGATGTGTTGTAGATATGCTCAGTCTGTGTCTGCTGTGCCTTTATCTTCCCTGTGCAGTTATGTTGACAGATTCACAACTTCCCTTCTGAACTGGCTTTCAGCACAAGATGTTTCTCAGTAGGATTTTTTTGCCTTTGTTTCCTCAGTTCTCCCTGACATCCATAAGGCAATACATTCTGCTTTAGTAAGGCAGGACCTTGTGAACATAATAACCCACTTAGCAATGAAAGTGGTTAATTTGCTCTTTAAGAAGAGAAAGATTCAAATCAAAACCTCTGGTCTCAAAGCTTAAGGAGTGCAAAAAACTAAACTGCTGCTCTGAAAAAATCTGAATCCAGCCCAACTGCTGATGCCAACCCTATCTCTCCCATGCAGATTGCTCGGTGTGCTTCAACACTGACAAGTGCCACAGGAGTGGAGATGGCTTCCTACCACCTGAGAGTCACGGTGAAGAAATTCTCACTCGAGGCTGCCAGCCAGAGACTATGCTTTCCACCAGTGTTTCTTATCTTGTGTGGCCCTACCAAAATGCACAGTCCAAGCTACAGCATGGTTCTGGGCTCTCTTCCCAAGCCTGTGAATGTGAGAGATGCTGGAGGTGTGAAGTGGGAAGTAGGAACCTGGGGTGCTGGAGTTCTGGCACTTCTGATGAGGACAGCAGCTGAGGTCTAGGAAGATTCAAAAACAGGAGAGAAAAAGAAAGAAGAATCTGATTAGAGCAACACTTGAAAACTAAATATATGATGGCTCTAGAGACAAATATACTGCATTTCACAGGGGTCTCGATCCCCAGACCTTGGCAGACAGGAAGAGGTTCCCTCAAGTCCCATTGTGTTCTGTTCTTTTACCTAGTGTTAAGTGCAGCTCTCTTTATTCTTCCATTTAATCTTTTGAACTTTCCAGGAAAATGACAGGATTTCTTACAAGGCATACTACAACTTCAAGAAGTTAAGAGCTTTATGTACCTAGGTAAAATTCCAATAAATAAAAATATTACTAGATAGAAAGGGAACTTCTAGGTTTCAAAATGACCCCACTGAAAAATTAAAACATCTTTTAAAACTTCTCCTCCCTTTCCCATTTGAAATATCAATGAACAGATCTTCCAAGGTTTGAAGTGAGACTTTGTGTGTGTGTATGACTAACTCAGATTTCATCCTACAGGGACTTTTTGACTCACTGAGACCATTTTTGATGCTCTGAAGGTAAGCTTCACTACCAAGAAAGTGGAGGTGTAAAATCACAGAGAATAAATTTAAAAGTAAGAGACCTCAGGAGGTCACCTAGTCCATCCCTGCCCCGAGGCTCGATCAACTACATCTAAATCTTTCTTGACAGATGTTTGTTTAACCCACTTTTAAAAACCTCCAGTGGTTCCAATCTCACAACAATCTATTCGAGTCTTTAACTGTTCTTACTGCTGGATGTTCTTCCTTCATGTCTAATCTAAGGTAAACAATTATTCCAATTTTATCACTGCTTAGGATACACAAAAGGTCTACTTTCAGATGATGAGATGGCACTTTTCAATTACAGAAGTATCATTCTCCAATTAGGATGTATGGGCAACAGGATAGTCCTTTGAATTCAGATATTGCACTATTGTATTTTATGTTTGAATGTTTATCATTACCAAGCAATAATCACTTTTCTTTTTTTTCTTTTTTTTTTTTTTTTTGCCTCTATTGTATTTTCTCTTGCATCATGTTATATTTTTCCTTGTCCATACATCCATCCCTCTACATCTCTAAATCTGCTCACTCTTTTTTGCCTGCGTGTGCAATACCTCCTTTCTCACCTCACCACACAGTGGGTGAGAGCCCAGTTTAAGCAGCTGCAGCTCCATTAGTTGATATCATTAGTAACTGGACTGGCATATCTGATATCAAGGATAGCTCTTCATTTTGTCCTACTGGCTCCTTTCTGAACTATTGATGTAAATAGGTGGCAAGAACGTCCCTCATGCAGGCTGTTGCTCTCAAATGAAAACATGACATGTCCATAAAATGTGATCTATGTGTAATCATCATACACATGCCTTCAAACAGGGGAGAGAAGTGACTTGCTAATTAAGTTTTACAATCCAGCGGTTGTGAGAAAGATAAAAACATGTCCCCGGTCAATCCATTACAAAGAGAACAGAACATCTGACCTTTTCATCCTGCCTTCCGTTTGCACTTGCTAGATCCATAACCTTTTCCAGCTGGAACGGAAAGTTCAATTAAGTTTTGTTGGCTCAGAAAACTGCCCATGTCCTGGAGAGTAGATTAGGCACTCAGGGGCTGCAATTATCCATCTGGTGCCACTTCAGCTATAATATCTATATATTTATATACATATTGCCATGGCTTGCAAGGATAAACACTCTGCTGAGTTGCTCAGGGTCACAAGCTTTACCACTAGGGGCTCTTCTGAACCCCAGGATCCAAGCCACCAAGCTCCACACAGGATAAACCCAATGTCAACGGAGTTTCTGCCACTCATATCTTCAGAGGGAATTTGTCCAAGTGGAAAAGATTCATCACATACCATGAAACCTCTCAGGTTTACATCTGTGTAAATCCATTGATTTATGGATCTGCACTTCCCCACTTTCTGGGTGAGGCATACAGAACCTTTAGAAATAATTTAATCTCTGTTGAGAAAGAAATTATATACACACACACACATATATTATATAATTAACACTTCTGAGGACAAAGTGCTTGGCCCTGGCAAATTATTCATGCAATTACATCAAAGATGAGGCACTGACAGCAACCAAGGCATCAATCATCTGACTGATCAATAACGCCTGCAGAACATGCAATCAAACATAATCAGACTCACATAGCCTCGGGATGAGAGAACATCTGAGATCTTCTCCACACACAGGGGGGCTGTAGCTTCAAGGGCTTGTCTGAAAGTTTGCTGAGCAGATTTTTCCCTTTGGGGCCATTTCTAACCTGTTTGCAGATCTGCAACTCTCTCTAAAAGGGGAGCAAACACTCCTTAGATCATTGCACCTAAGTTAAGTGGGCTCCTTAAGAAAGTGGATGCAGCATCCATACTTGTTCATCACAAACCACAAAGCCCAGTGTGCAATGCAAGTTGCTACATAAGGCTCTGCCTTTACCTGAATTTTATAAAAAATCAGCATGATTTTGCCTTATCTACTGGATGCTAAGACTAACAAACAAGCAAGTGTTTGTGTTACAAGTCAGTCTACCATGGCACAGGCTTCTGGTGTATTTCAGAAGAATATTTTTTTAACTCTGTAGCATGAGAACATAGATTGCTCTGCTCAAAATAACAGAAGACTGCTCAAAATAACAAGACTGCCTCACCCCATCATCCTCACCAAAGAAGAAATGCTGGGCTTCCTGCTTCAGAAGTTCCCAGATTTGGGACATGTTTCTGAGCTCCATCAGGAGTTTTACTCCAGACACAAGTGAGCACAGCTTCCACAGCTCCTGCAGTTGCAGAACGTGAACACACCTGCCTCCATCTGCATTAGTGCTAGACGTAGGAACACTCACATGTCATGGACAGCAATCTCTTAATGACCTGTTAGCATTGCAGCAACAGTTTTGCTCAGGCAGATTGGCTGCTCTGAGCACCAGCTCCCTACTGCTAAAGCAAAGTCTGTTTCTCTCCAGAGAAAATGCTGAGGCAAGTTTAGGAAATGTCAGTGATTCCCCCTACCCTTACTTGCTGGTTTGCAGTTTTCCTGGGGAAATGAAAACCATGAGAGGTTGTGGGTTTACAGTGTCTACTGAGATCTCTATGAACCTTGCTTAATTTATTCCAAAAGCTGCTTCTTCCAGCCCACAGCACTCTGATGACCACCTCCACCTTGCTTCCTGCATCCCTCAATTTGTTCTCTCTTGTTTTTTTTCCACCTCACTGTTCCTATAATGTGTAAAAAAATCTTATAAACTCCATCCTGAAATAATCCAGTAATGAGAAACTGGCTACATTATGGACCAGGAAGGGTCAAGACAGAGTTGTTTTATTTCTATCTCCCAGGGCAGTCCTTGCTGCCCATCGCCCACCACCTGCTTGGTGGCACAGCTGTCACCCAGATGCACCTCTATATCACCACGGGGCAGGGAAAGATCCCACCCTGGCCCAGCCACACCTCCCACAGCCTTGCCACCGCCGTGGGCTGAGTCTGCAAATCTTTGGAAACCTCCTGCCTTTCCCCCACTGGTTCCTGCGCTGCGCCTCATTAGCTGCTCAGCTCCCTTCAGCTGGGAGACAGGAATCTGGCAGGAAGGTGTAAACAGCCAGTTTAATTGGGTGTTTAGAACAAAAGCAGCAGTGGCAGTGCTGTCATTTTCGAGCTAGCTTACAAACAGGCAGTTTGAAAATCATTTCCTCCCATCTGCACAGAGTTAAATCTCCCAACACTTGTGAGCAAGGCTCTCTCTGAACACGGGAGAAGCAAACAAACAAAGTGATGCCTTCTCAGAACGTGAGGCTGTGTTTCTGTCCTGGCTTATATCCTGTCCTGTGCAAACATTTTTCATTTGCCTCCAGGCTCTGCAAGTTTGGATTTTCTCCCTAACTGTCCAGCACACATGCGTGAATGAAAAAGGCACATCTTTACCTTCCATCATCTTCCTTGTGGTGATTTTATAGGCCTGGGCAGTGAATGTCATGTGTCAAAAAATGTCCACATGTGATGACAACAGACAGACCTGCAGCCACAGCATGTCATGTCTGGGAATGAAAATATATTCTCTGTTGCCCCTCTTCTTCATGCAATCTCCTACAATTATTCATTCCCCAAGAAAGAAGGCTATTTGTTTAGTATTTTTCATTCTGGTGGTAAAGGAAGGAAAAGAAGGAGGAAGAAAGAAAGAAAGAAAGAAAGAAACAAACAAACAAAAAACCACTAAGGACTGTCCAGAGGTGTCCTGCCTGCACCTATAAACTCAGATGTGGATTTATTTGTGTTGCTTAGAAACCTTCATCTGTGGCCTGGCTGGTCCCTTCATGTTTATTTAAAATCGCATCTAATAGAAAAAGGCACAGCCATAAGGCTGGAGAGTGAAAGTTTACCAGGGTCACTGGTTCTGCACCTGAACCATTTCTCTGATCTCTCCTCACAGGCCAAACAAACCATTTCCATACAAATGGGATCCCGATGACCAAAACACAGGACTGCAGCCCAGGTATCTCCCACCCAAGGCTTGACCCCTGCCCCGTAAAAACAATGTGTGAATATGATGGGAGAGGCTGACAGGCATCTTAATTACCCTACAAGTGCCCCTTTTTTTTCCTCCCTACTTGGAAATTGTGTCCAAAGGGAAGGAAGATGTAGAAATAAGCAGATTTTAATGAAGCTGATGAATATCCTAAAGTCCTGGACAAAAGGCTAAAGCACATGAGGGGATCAGCCAGACCTACCCTGGCCCAGGGAGCCCAGGGTTCTTGGAGTGCATCAGGCTTGCTGTGTGTGTTGTCCAGGTAAATCTGTCCGTGGCTGCCTTCTCAGGCACCTTCAGAGCCTTCCAGCAGAGGTGTGGCAGAGCTGTTCCTGGCATGTTTGGAGGTGTACACATGACTACAGTCTAGAATAGACTGTACCCTTATTTTGGGGATTTAATCCCCTCCTAGACTGAAACTGCAAGAAGATTATTCCTACTCAAATATCTCCTAGAAATAGATCCAGGTTTTCAGTCCCATGCTGACAACAAGTCCAAGGAGTGCTGAAGTCTTGGTCCAGATTTGATTTCCACCCCACTTTGACAGTGGCTTAATTTACATTTAAGCACAAAACCAGAATCCTAACTGTTGTCCTCTTTTCTTTTGATGAAATAAAAATGATCTAGAACCAACAAACTGAAATGTAGCAAATTCTGAATGTAATGGATTCATAAATTTCAAACATAAGACAACCATGATTTACTGCTCTGCCTCGTTGTATAACCAGGGC